GCAGAGAGAAGGTGTACCCCGGAGTCCAGCGGAATCTCCTGTTGAGCATCTAAACCAGGGCAGTGGCCAATAGAGTGAAAGGAAAAACAAATAAACAAATGCCGTTTTTCTTTAATTATCCCTTACAGTCTTTACAGTCCTTCACTAAGCAGGTACTTAATGAGCATTCGCTGTTCACTGAAGCACTTCATTAATACACATTGTAAAGCTTTTCTAGAGGATTTTCACAAGCTTCATGTCTTGCCGGATCCCCAGAGTGATTATGCGACACCGGAAGAGTAAGTTCTATCACCCCCATTCTACAGATGAAGAAATGAGGCTTGGAGAGCGGAACTCATCTTCCCCAAGTTTCACAGATAACAAGCTGCAAAGCCTGAGCTGAGACCCCAGTCTCACTCTGGTCCCGCTAAACCGTGCACCCCCCCCCGCCCCCACCCATAACATCACGCTCAAAACAATTTCCCTGCCTGTGCATCCCCAGGAAATGAAATCAGCTTGGCAATGGGCTATCAGTCACGGAAATGGAAAATTTCAAGAAAGCCGAAAAGTTTAGCCAACTGTAGAATTCTCAGTCATTGACCAATGGCCCAGCAAACAGGAGGAAATGCAGGACGGCTTCTGGTTTGCTTTCTAAGCAAACAGCAAATCCATTTATCCACACACTCAGCTCAGGCACAGTTAATAATGAGGATTTATGGGGCAGCAGATGGGATGCTTCCTTCCAGCTGCCAGGTAGAAGCTGTAAAACCTCTGCTTTAGGTGGGAAGGCAAAGCGGATGAGGCTCTGTCCTGATGACTAAGAAAACCAAAAAGGCTTTGGTGACCCCTTCAGTGGCTTCTAGGTCCCCCTGCCACCTGTGAAAGCAGGGAGCTGAGTCGGGCTCTGCCCATTTGTTCTAATCATTTTGTCTGGTGTCTCCATCCGCCTGGGTCCCAAACCCGAGGGCCTTCAAATCAGCCAAGTTCCATCCTCCACCTCTTGCTCAATTGTCATTTATTTGAAGCTCCCTGACCTCCAACGTTTTCCTTGTTCCTTCAGAGTTAAATCTGGCTGATTCGGCCCCTGTCATTACAGGACCGGGTCTGCATTTAATTTCTGCACAAAGAGATTAGTCCTGCTGTAATAATAATTCCCATTCAGAGAGCACTTTGGGCCGAAAGCCACACTGTTGAGAGGCCGCATTTCTAAAATCAGCCACTTTACCCCTCGAACTGAGAGAATGACAAGTGGCCTCCAGGTACAACCCTTGCAAGAACCCGGTAGGAAAACAGACGTGAAGGTTACAGTGGCAATTTGTTTCCTGGCCCCCGTGGGAGAAGCTGCCAAATCCCCAAGTTTAGACCCAGATGAGAATCAGCCGTGTTGGCACAAAGAGATCGGCTGCAGAAAGTCCAGAACTGGGTAGCACCTTAGAACTCACCGGGAAGACCGATTTTCAGGTGTTTTTCTTTCAGGAGAACTCCTTCCAGCAGAAAAACCCCCCACGTGGACTAACTGGCGGGCCTCCCCCCAATCTCCCCTCCTCCTTGAACCCTGGAGGCCCCTGAGCTCCCAGAGGACACTCTTCGAAAACCTCTCTTGCAGACCAACTTTCTTATTTTTTGGATAAGAAAATGGAGGTCTGGAGAAGTGAAGTGACTGACCTGCTCGAAGGCCAACAGCACGTGACAAGGACAGTGTGGCGTCGTAACAGGCCTCCTCAGCGGAAGAGGGGCTTAAAAAGAGAAATTCTGGTTCCTCCTTGATCGTTTCGATGTTAATGTTTTTCTCCTGAGTGGGAACCTTCAGCGGGTCACGGATTTGGTTCCTCTCTGCTTTGCTTCCCTCCTGTTAGTGGGCATTAGCATCTTTGCTGTTTCCCCCCCTGAATACAGGTTGAAACAACCCTTCAAGGACATGCAGGATCATCTACCCCAAAGCCTTCTCCTTCATGAATCACAAAATAAATTGACCTCTAGGGGACAGAGCGCAGGCCTTTGCAGATGATTGGGGGGCACCCTTCACCTCTGGGGCCCCCCTGGTCTGCACGGGGTTCCTTTCTACCCACTCTGTCCTTGCTCAGGGACTTGTCTTGTGTATGTCAAAAAAAAAAAAAAAGGCAAGGAGTGTGAACCTGAAATATCAGGATCCAAGAAAACTGGAAGACCAGCCTGCTTCAGAAGCCATTCTGGAAGGCAAGAGTCCTTTTGACGAATGCTTTTAGACTGACTGCTTGCTCTCCATCCATCACCAGTCCTTGTTTGCCCAGCGGGTCATTTACATGTGCCTAGCATCCCTGGGTAATGGGCATGCTGTAAAAATAAATGGAATAAATAAATTAGTGCTTGAACTTCTCAAATAAATCCAGTTGAATTAAACATACCTGAAACCGCTCGGTCTTAAAGAGCAAAGTGGAGATGGTAATGAAACAAGAAATAGGCTCTTTGCCTCAGAAAAAAATGAAAAGAGGGATGAAAAGTCATGCAAGAGCCGTGAGAAAATTCTAGAAATAAAGGGAATCATATCTGCACAGCGAGTCCTTGTTATGTTGGAGGCATCGTCTTCCAACTGCTTTTTCCCACGGCTCCAATTCATAAGATTTGAATTCGGGTCTTTTCGAAAGTGGAGTCAGAGAAGGTAAGGCCGCACCCCGAACGGTGGCCCCTCAGCAAGAGGAAGTAGCCCAGATTTTCACATCCTGTCTTTCCCTCTCGAGGGTCTTTGAATAACAAGGGTCTTTTTCAGTTGGACACATGAGTTAGAAACACACATACGCATCCGTGCACACACGTAGACAGGTAGCCACCCTTGGTTGAGACGCCATAACATACCAGGCATTGTTCAAAATCCTTTATTTGCATTGACTGCTTTTACCCTCACAGATACCCTATAAATCATGTGTGGTTATTATCATCCCCAGTGTAATATGAAGAAACTGCTAATTTTAGATTCTTATAAAGGTCACCTGATAAAACTTTTTTTTAAGAGGCAAAGACAGAATAATTACCAAATATTGAAAATGCATTGCACAATTAAAGGTAAAGTGCATTTAAAGCAGACATTTCACATCTACCCCCGTATAAGTGTATACATTCAAACTGGCCTAAGTCGCGTGTTTCTTTCCTAGATCTTACAACCGGGAAGATGAAGTATGACCTTGTATTTGGGTAATTTTCTACCTGGGCACAGCCAGTAATTACTGAGCACCTATTATGTGTAGAAGACACTCTTAGCAACTGTTGGGAAAACCTGTGATGTAAATCTGGATGTTACCTTTAAACCAGTCATAGTCGAGACTCACTTGCACTCACACATATTTGCTAATACACACACATTCACACACTCATGCTTACACTCACCCGCCCTTCCTCCTCCCAGAGCTGGGACTGGACTGAGGGGAGTAAGGACTTTCAGACAGTGCGTGCCTCCCAGGTGCCTCACTGGCCTCACCCCAGCCCAAGCCCTGTCCGCTCCCTCCTAAACACACACCACATATCACAATTAATGCAACAAAATAGAGTGTGGCAAACGAACGGACTCTGGGAAGAGCACAATATTGACAAATGGTCAAACCAAGAGGGCCGGTATGAGTTCATCAATGAATCCTGATTAACGAGTGAAATGGTCAAGCCCATGAGCCCGGAGCATGAACCTTTTGAGGAAGAGGAAATGACTTCGTCGTAAGAAGACAGCTGAACAGGAAGAGCTCATTAAACTGGGTTTGATGGGCAGGAAGGAGAAAGCCAACGACTCCCCAGAGCAATGGCAAGAATCTGAGGGCAGAAAGTGATGAGATTGGCAAAGAAGACAGCCCCAGCCACCCGCAGATTCCAGAACTGTCAGAGCCCCCGAAGCCTGATGCTACTGACTTATCTCAGCAGGCCAGACGGCTCAGGCACTCACTCGTTCAGCAGATCTCTACGGAGCCGTCAGTCACTCCACTGGGGGCTGGGGCATGGCGGTGAGTGGGAAGCACGGATAGGTCCCAGCCTCGCAGGGCGAGATCTCAGGCAGGGTCTGCAGGGTCTCGTCCCTCAGTGGTGTCTCTTTCACAGTCTCTTGTAGGAAGTCTCCCCCCATGTATCCGCGCATTTCACTACTCGTTCTGCTTCTCTTCCACACTGACACGTGGTCTCCCCTTGTCTTCAGAGCAAAACCCATTTGCCAGAATTATATAAACTAAAGTCCTTCTGAAGTTAACAGAAGTTTCCATAGAAATACAAACCACCAAATATCTTCCTTGGAAAAGCCTCCGAGAGCTGGTGGGAACTTCAGGAGGCACAAACGTTGTATTCTGGAACGAGTGTTACCCTTCTCGATGTTGCAAGGTTGGGGCGTTTCACCTGGGATCAAGTTGAGACCACTTCTCCGCTGTCCCCCATGAAGCCGGGAAGGAGATGTGCTTCATCCTCAATAGTGACGATTGGGAAATGGAAGTCACTAGGGAACTTAACCGTGAGGTGGGGACTTGTGTTTAAAACACATGACAACAGGTGGAAATTCATAGAAGCACAGACTGTTTGTATATTGCCTATAGATTGAGTATATTTGAAAGTAAATATTACAACTATTGGCTGTATTCCTGAAATGTACATGTCTACTGATGCTCTATAGAATGGAAATATAATTTATTTCCCAGTGTTTTGCACATGTTCATAGATTTCTCCGTTTGCCCAATCCTCCAGCAGTGGTCCCCCCAGTACCTCACTGGGGGGCCCACAGGTCTTCCCCGTGGATTCCACCCCTGCCCATCCAAAACTTCTTTTGAAATGCCTGAGTGAGTTTAACTCATTAATAGTCGCCTATATATGTTCTGCTAAATTTGGTAATTTTAGACTAACATGAATGCATTTTAGGGTTTAGAGAATTCCGGCATGGCTCCAATTCAGTATTTTACTAACATCACAAGACTCCGACTGCACAGGTGCGTACACAGATAGTCGAACACCCATAATTTGGAGGAGGGCTACAGATTCATGACCAGTACTGCCTTGCATGATGACGGTTTTCATGTTTTCACGCTGTCTGAGTCTATATGACGGCTTGTCTCATGCAGAGAGCACCGGCCTGGGCTAGACGCTGTTGCTAGAGCAAGTTCAAATTGTGTCAGACGGTTTTGATCATCTGCCACAGAATGTTGCTTGCAATGATGTTTTTTAATTGCTGCTCTTCTTGCTTCTTAATAGCAAATTATTGTTAGTTTTTCTCGTCATTATCAATTTAGTTTGTTGTGGGTTGTTTTTAACCCCACACTATGTACTAATGAATATTTATGATTTTTTAGGCTATAATTTTCCAAAACTACTCCAGCACGTATGCACTACGCTCAAGAATGAATCATCTACATCCTTATTACTAAAGCAGATGTACACGTATATTCCCCTATAATTTGCTAATGTGAGAACATTTTTCTAGTAATGTGTGCAGTGCTTGGAATTTTAGCATGCAAATTACTTAAAATCTACCAATAAGGCAAGTCTCACACAAGTATTAAATTTACATTTACATCGCATTGTTTTAAAATACAGAAGCAAACATATGAGCTAATGGTTTCATCTTATTACATACATTATATACACTAATGTATTTTTTTTTGCCAGATTTTGATTATCTGGGATAAGTAAAAATTGTGAATCATGACTCAAGGTCAGTATTCCCCAATGTGTGGTCTACCAGACGTTAATAGGTGTTCTGCAGATAATGGCTTCTTAGATAAGTTGGGAAAAAGGGATTTGTACTGTGTTCCCCTTTCAGAGATTTGCAAAGACCTTTAAGCATATTATGGTCATTAGTTTGATGTGTCAACTGGGATAGGCCAAAATACCCAGATACTTGGTCCAACACTGGTCTAGATGTTGCTGTGAAGGTATGTTTGAGAGAGATTAACATTGAACCCAGTAGACTTTGAGTTATATAGATTGTTCTCCATAATGTACGAGGGCCTAGTCCATCAGCCAAAGGTCCTGGGAGGGAAGACTGACCTGCGGGAGGAGGACGAATCTGCCTGCAGACTGCCTTTCGACTCAAGCTGAAACATCAACTCTCCTCTGGGCCTGCAGCCCCACAGCTGACTTTGAAGATTTTGTGTCTAGTAGCCTCTATGATTACATGAGCTAATTCCTTAAAAGAAATCTCTCCATTGATGACATATAGACATACAGATAGAGACATAAAACACAGACACCTAAGTACATAGCTACACATACATGCTCTGTATGTAAATGTGATAAAAATGTGTAGCTATACACTGTGTATCTCATGTATACATATATAGGGAGAGAATACACACACACACACACACCCATCCTATTGGTTCTGCTTCTCTAAAACTAAGACATATGTTAAAGCTCTGAAAAGTTCTGCAATTTAAAACACTACCTGCACTGAGTTTATGTAACCACAAAACATTTTTCATATAATCCCTACTAGTATCTCAAAATATAGCTTGGAAAATGCTTTTCTCCAGGCTTTACCTTGGGCAGAGGTGGAGCCGTGCCCTACGTCAGCAATGTCGGACTCTAAATCCATGCAATTCAAAAACTAATAGCATAAGTACTAGAACAGAAGATTCCACGTGTCCTTGTCTCTGCACATGGTGTAGGCAGAGGAAAATAGCCCTGAGTTATGCAAGCACAATGAGCTGAGATGCCCATTATGGACCGGTTCTCACATGTAACGATGTCTGATGAAAATATGTTCCGGCGAAATAGCCCCCCATGCTGTGCCTTTGTAAAACGCCCCTTTGTAGATATTCTTGGGGACTGGAGAGTCATACTGAAATGTCATCCACTGCTGGGTAACACAGCACAAGGCAATGCAGGAATGGCAGGGAGCTGAACAAGAAAGGGCGGCCCTCTCTCCTAAAATGCTTCCTTTGTCTCTTATTGTTCCTTCTCACATGGTCCTCACTGGTCCCAATTTATCCTTCAGATCTAATCCTGGAAGCCACTTCCGCCAGAAAGCCTTTCTTTTCTGACCATCTCTGCACCCTGGACCCAGCAGGTCAGCCCATCTCTTCCCTGTAAACGCATTCAAACACCAGGTGCCTCCCTCGGCACTGGGCATAAACACCGTTTAGTTAGTAAGGGCCTGTCTGTCTCTCCTACAAGACGGTGAGGCCCACGGGAACAGGGGATGTTTCCAGCTTGTCTCTGCAGCTGGGCAATCAGTGCAAACTCTGAGTGAAGGATGAAGTAATTACAGGGGAAGTGCCCCCTCCCCAGTTTTCCTCATGATTCTATGTAAATTATTCTCTTCGTAGCCAAACCTGAGTACTTTTCTCTACTTTGATCTCTCTCTAAAGATCTTCACTCTTTAACCTTAAAAAATACCCATGCCAAGTGCCCATGAAATATTCATACATGTGTGTATATACATAATGTCTCATAAAAATCCAACCATTATCAACATAACCAGAACAGTTTCTGTGTCATTGATGTAACCTGGCAGCCAAGGAGAGTGGACTGGAATGAGCATGCATGAACAGTGACAACTACACTGTACTAGTCAGTAGGGGCGGTAGACACTGTTGAGCATGTGCACTGTGTGGGCATCACATTCAAAATGACAGAGCAAGTGGAGCAACAGTTCTGCATCAAATTTTGCATGCAGCTCGAACATTCTTATGGAAACTATTGGGACGATTCAGAAGGCCATCAGCTCTGGGCAACTGATGATTGACAGCTTCAGCACAACAATGCACCCGCTCATGCTTCGTATCTCTGCAGAGTTTTTTGGTGAAACATCGAATCACCCAGGTGACTCGGGGCCCCTACAGCCCAGACTTGGTGCCCTGTGGCTTCTGGCTTTTCACAAAACTAAAACCACCTTTGAAAGGGAAGAGATTTCAGACTGTTGATGAGATACAGGAAAATAAGATGGGGCAGCTGATGGGGACTGGGAGAACCATGTGAGGTCCCAAGGTGCCTGCTTTGAAGGGCACTGAGGCATCATCGTCCGGTGTTCAATGTTTCTTGTGTCAATGTTTTTTCAATAAACGTCTCTATTTTTCATATTACATGGCTGGATGCATGGTCTGGACAAACCTCGATCATACATGTACATGCATGCACACATGTATGCACATGTACATCTATACACTTGTTCACTCGCAAATGATAATAAAGACAATCATTTGTCAAGCACAACTGTGTGAAGAAAGATGGGGAAGGGGCGCAGTAGGCACGTGAAAGGGAGAGACAGATTTCAATCACCGCTGTATCATTTGGGGGGGGGCCAGTAAAATGGTGCAGGGGGTTTCAAACCTCTAAAAAGAAAAGCGGAGGCTCAGTCTAATTCTAGTAGCACCTCCCCCCGGCCCCTGCCCACTGCAGGTGCCACTTACCCAGCCCGGGGAGCTCCATGTGCGTGCACGCTGACCATGGGTCTCTCTTCCACGAATTATCACTGGAAACAAAAGCACTAAGAAAAATAATGCATTGGCAGACAGACAGGCTTTCACTTCAGGAAATCTGGCTATTTGGAGGGGCGGGTATGTATGTGAAAAGTGACGGTCAGGGTGGCACCCAGGGGTCACCGGGCCTGGCTCCACTCCCTCTCCCTGCACCCTCCTGTACCCCCCACCCTGACTCTCAGCTACTCACACTCAGCCCCCCTTTGCAGGAGGGGCCCTAAAGGCAAAGGTCTTGGAGCTGGCACATGCTCACCTCTCCTTCCTGCCTGACCCCGAGGCAGAAAACCGTCACCCCCCCAAACGGTGTCATCTGAAGGAGTTGCCCAAGTGGTTTACCCAGGACAAGACACATAGGCAGGGTTCTCTCACGACCCCCCTTCTCCTTGGCTCTGGTCCCCACTAAGGCTACAGAAAAGGTACCTCCAACCCAGCCCTAGCGTGGGAGACCTAAGGGGTAGAGAAGTAAGGCATCTCTAGCTGATAGAAAAATTTGGCAAGAGCAAGCAGCTAACAATGAGTCTCCCTCCCCTCACCCCCTCCCACCCTGCCACGCTACTTGGGACCAGGGAAATCTATACCAGAAGTTCTAAAACATGCTAAATGCATTTTCACACTTTCAAAATCTGGGCTATTACACAGCTTCAGTTTTTGGTACAAGAAATGGGTATTGAATTACAGTAACCTCTAGATAAAATTTTTTCCCAGAGAGCCAGACCGTGCTTACCCCAGCATCCATGCATATTAGATCATCAATAACCCCTTAATTAGGATGAGGCCACTTGCTAAACTGAATTGAAATTCCTTGACACGATCCAGTTATTGAAAGACAGGATGCTTTGATCAAAAACAGCTCTCCGAAACACGCTCCACCCCATTAATGAGAGCATTTATTGAAGGATACCTCTCCAGACTCAGCTGAGGTGGGTCACAGCGCCTCTCACTACAAATGCCTGAAGCTGTCCTCCACTCGGCACTTACCAGATGGTCCGCCTGGGGCTGGACACACACAGCATCATTTCTGAACAGTGGAAGATAAAGGCAGGGCGACCAGAAGCCACAAAAACCCAACTTCTAAACACACGCCAGGGCTTACTCATTACACATGCATTCTTCAGCTCCTCTGAGGAGCTAGTTGAAGGTCACCTCCACTTAAAATCCTTGGCTTGGGAGCCCCTTGTTGCATACAGCTTAGTCTATTAAAACCCTAAAAGTAGCTAGTGATGAAAATTCCAGCCATTTTTTAAAAAATCTCTGTGGAGTGGGGGGGGGGGAAGGAAAAACCAATGCATGAGTCTATTTGAAATCGTTTTATGAATTTTAATCATAGCAAATGTGTTTTAACAGTAGTCATAAAATCAACATTACCACATATACAAAGGACAAGACACCAGTTTGGCATACAAAAATACCATATATTAAAATCGAGTTCATCGGAAAAACTCAGGACTTACTAAGACACCATCTACAACAGAGAGAGCAAGCAAGAATGCTTTTAAGACATTCAGATTAATACACAGCAGCTTGATAAACTCCCCCCCTACCCCACCCCCACTTATGAAGTCAGTATTTGGCAACATTTAGACAGTGTTTTCTACACAGCCCGGCAGCTCATTTATCTGTAGGGCGATTCAACCCTTTCAAAGAAAAGCTCCTAAAATAAATAATCCACATAATTATAAATGAAACCTGTCCCGGACTTGAGTGAGCAGCCTCTGAGCAGCATTAATCTAGCCACCTGACTGGAGTATTGGTTATGAAGAGGGCCTGGCAACCGCTGGTGCAGCCGCGAGCGCAGGGACCCTGTGCGGCAGCTGCGCGGCTGAAGTTGGAGTTCAAAACCACCCGAGCTGAAACCGGCCTCCCCACCTGCCACTGTCAAGTGAGGCAAACAGGAACGAGCGATGGGAGGAAAACAGAATAAATGACAACAACCAGGACAGAAACCTAAATGTTCTTGAACGCATCTTCCCCCTGGTATTAACCTAGTCACATTAGGACACGTGCCCAGGTACAGGCATCGTGTTCCTTGGCTAAGAAGATGTTGTGAGCAGAGTTTGTCCATGACTCAGCACCAACGATGGAGCAGGCTCTGAAATTGCCCAGTGTGGCCGACCACTCGGGGGGACCCTTGGACCCTCTCATCCACTTGGCACAACCCTGTAATGCCTTCAACAGAAACACTGTGGACTGAATCTGGTAGGCCATGCTGACCTCCAGCTCCTACCCAGTTTGCTTTGGACCTATAATCCCCTTACAGATTTCCTTCCCTTTTATGCTTATCTTTCCTCACTCTCAGAGCAGATCCATCCATCTTGTGCAATAGGTCCAAGGCCACGCCTCCACCAGTTCCACACAGGATCCACTCAACAGCTGGGTTGTACTTCAGCCAGGAAACCCCATACAGGAATTGTCTGAAGCAAGTGTAAGATAGCAGCTCATCCATCCTGCCACTGTTTGAACAGAGATGACATAAATATCACCTTGGTCCCTTAAAGGGGCAGTTGCCTCATCTATTTCCTTCCTCTTACAGCCCAGTTCCTTCACCACTATCAATCATACCCAACCTTCTACTCCTGGATTCTCAAAAAGCCAATGTCAAGTTAAAGACTGAGCGTCCCTTTGGAAAACTCTTGTTAGAATAGCCCAGTAACTCACACTCCGGGGAGGACCACAGAAGACTTGCACGTTGGCCACTAGCCCTACAGCCAAGATGATGAATTTAGGGCAGTGTCTAGAACAGGCAGAGCTATAGAAAACACCCCCCAAAAAACAAGGAAAATCCATGCTGTTACAGACTTCAAGAGCCCTCAGTACTTTGCCACAAATAATTACTGATTGTCCCTAAAAGGATTCATACAATATGAATAGTATCAAAAACCTCAGATTAGAATAGGAAAGTCTAGCTAACGAGATGAGTGTTTTCAAGCACCACTACACCATAAGTGAGATACAGATAGTGGGATACCCCAGGCAGTAAATCCTGAAAAAACAAACAAACAAAAAACCCCAACAAGATCATTGGCTCAACTGTGCAAGGGAACTTGTACAGAAAAACCAGAGCCACATTCTAAGAATTCAGGAAGAACGGTGCTCTACCCAGGACCACTTGAGCAGGGCCAAACAGGAGGCTGTTTGGAAGATAGAAATTAAACACCTCACCTATTTAAGTTCTTCAACCATCAACGATGTTCCAAGAAAGTGGATGCGGAACCCACCTCTTCATATATTTGAAGAGTCTCAAGAGTTGAGTTCTATACACACTCACAAAGGTGGACAGCTTGACATAATGGGTGCAGCCAATAGAATTTGTTTAGATATGAACATCTAAATTCAGCATTATGCAAGCCACAAATTGAAAACCATGACCAATTGCATTCTTTACTTGATTTAACTCATTGCTGCAAAATCGTATATCTACATATATATATCTACACCTATATGTGAATCAATTGTCAGAAAAAAAATCAATGGCTTGAATATCCCCTTATTTTTCGTCAGAACAACAGATCGATGACTTGTCTTGTGTGCAAATGAAATGCTGATGGGTTAGCAGCATCATTTTTCTGAGAGAAGAGACAAAATTAAAATCTTTTGCAGATCACTCCTCTCAGACCAGTAACTTTGGATCTCAAACTTCCTTGTAGTCTAAAGAAAAACTGTCATTACGCCCCACCCAAATATTTTTTTAGTAATTTTTAAAAACAAGCTTAAAAAGAAGAGTCAACACCCACTGACGGGTTCTGGGGTTGGGGGAATCAACTCAATCCTGCAAAATGGGAGCAAATGCATTTGGTTTGTGTTATATTCAGAAACAATGAAAAGCAGACTAACCGGTTTTGACACAGACTGGGTTTTCAAATCAAGCTACGGGAACTCATTAACATCCAAATCTAGACGGGAACAAATGCTATACTATCAGGAAGAGCCTGATCTTTCTATGAATATATAGCTCACACTGAATTTTCTGCTTCCATTTACCCACTTAAAAAGCCATTTTAGTAACTTCCATGGGCAATGTTTTTTTAATGTTTAAAAAAAAAAGTATCTGGGCCCGGCTGCAAATCTTCAATTCTTTCAGTGATAACGAAAAGTCAAAAAAACCCAGCAAAACTAAAGACAAAATAGTACCTATGGTAGAGTCTGGCAAACGGAGAATGACACCCACACACGCCACACCAGACAGGGACATGCCGGCAGGCGCCCAGGGCGAACAGAAACACTCTCCACGAGCAGCGTAGAACATGCTTGCTCTCCACCACCCCACACCTCACTAATGCAGCAGTGAGGTCCGGGTAAGGTGTGGGAAGTGAAGAGAGATTTCATCGGGCCCTTTTTTTTTTTTCTGTAACATTTATTTTTTGGCCACAAAACCCTAAACACATTTTCACAGTTACAGGTCATGCACAACTTGCAAGTCAAATGGTTTACAGCTACTGTTTAACTACTATTTTGGGGGCAACAGACTCACATGCAGCTAGTCACCAGGAAAGGGGCTTCAATAGCACTCTTTAAGCTTCACTGAGTGCTCTGATCGTGCCTTGACCCAGAGTATCTGAGGAATAACCCCAAAGGGCAATCGATGAATTTTTACCGTGGTACTTGAGATCACACACTTTTTAAGCCTAGAAAGGTTTTGGGTTTTCTTTTTTCCTTTTCTTTTTTTTTTTAGCCAACTGCATGTTACTATTAAACCACAATCTGTCTTCTTAGCCTTACTCTGTTACTCCCAATACTTCGATGCTAGACACCATTGCACAACCATCCAGAACTGTGCTGGCCAATGTGTTGGCCACTAACCATGAGTGACTACATTTAAATAACTTAAAATACATTAAAATAATAAAATACAAAATCCTGTTACTCAGGCAAACTAACCTCGTTTCGACTGCCTGATACGGGACCACACAGGTTACATCGTACTTCCATGATCACAGAAAGTTTGACTGAGCCGCACCAACCTGGACAGCCCCGAGGGCTGCACCCCCATGGTCTGACTTCCAGGGGATCCACTCTTCAGTCGTGCAGAAGAGTAAAACTTAACTATATATTTAAAGAGTATACTTGAGAGCTTTCTGATCACACAGTATGATGAGAACTGATAACGGATTTGCTTTTCATCCCAACTTATGCCTTGGGTAGCTGTACAGAAATTTTCCAAAGACAATGCATTTTGATAGCCTACCTGGCTCTACTGAACACAGTAAGCCTTCTCTGGCTAATGTCAAGATCATTAATAAAAACAAAAATTCATGCTTCTTATAGTGTACTATTTACATAACACTCATTGTCCTTTACAAAGAAGGCGGAGGGGTTGGGGGGCCAATGGTTTGCAAGTAAAAAATTCAAATCACATGGTTTTCTTTAAAAGTCTATACTCACCCCTAAATCAACCCTCCTTTGATTTCCCAGAGAGGTAGATGCTAACTAAAAAATGAATATATAAATCTACAAAAGAAAAACTTTAAAGCAAGAGTTGAGTCCATGAAGGGTATTCATCCACCCTGGAAAAGTTCATCCAGTGCCCAGGGGGGTCGACAGGCTTGGGAAGAAGAGGAAGCCGCAGCGCAAAGTTCTCCTCTCCCTTTGCTACTGAATTCCAAGCTGCCACGTGACTCCGCAACTCTGTGGGCCTCGGTGGGTTTGTCCTCAAAACGAAGGCCCCGGAGGTTGCTTCCAGCTCTCACTTTCTGTGCTTTCTGTTGTGTTTTTTTTCACTGATGTGCAACTGTAAATTCCGGCCGATTGTGTCACTGGACTTTGGTCACATGGGGTAGATGAGTTATCAGTGTCATGGGTGACTGCCAGGAGAGGCCGGAGCAATGGTAAACATCGAGTCTACAAAAACTCTATCAGGCGGACTGAGACATCACACACACACACACACACAAACACACACAAGTGCACACCCTAACAAACAGGTGCACAAGTAACTGTGGGCAGAATTCACTCAAACACTATTTCTTATGTCAGTAACACTCGCACAGAAAATTCTGATTTGGTCATTATTGTTACTCTAGGTTGTAAAGTCAAAAATCTACCGTAGAGCTGATTAATTTTCCGCTGCTTAACTGCAGTTCTGGCATCAGATTGCTTTGAAGGAGAAGTTACGTGAATGTTTTTACTCAGTATTTTTACACTAAGAAACAAAGGGCACTGGACTGTCATACATGTTAGTGTCTGTGTGTAACCTACTTAACACAGAGAAGTCTTATCAAATACTACGCTACACAGCCGGTCATTTCCTACTGTACATAAACATATGCAGATAGCATTTACACAACGAACTGGAACGTGGCATGGCTGAAAATTGCAGGGGTAAAGTCCATTAGAAAAGCAGGGTTCTTAATGCAACAATCCTGTGTTTTGTTGGTTTTTTTCCCCAAGAGGAAGAGAAATGAGGTCAGACGTGCATTACAGCAGCCTGGTTGAGTCTGAGAAATTGACACTAACCCAACAGTATATTATGTTACGTAATAGAGGACAGCATTCAGCTAATATGATACCTAAATTATTAATAGCAAATAAATCCTAGATTTGTTGTATAATGTCCAATAGCTTACATAGTAAAATGGCATTTTAACCTAATTTCTAGCTTGAGCTTTCAAATACGTTTCCTAAAGGTCTGCAGAAAAAAAAAAATTTGAAAGATTTGAAAGACCCGAGCTCACATTTGTATATTGAATTCCCACACCAATGAACAGCGTTAGCTTTGGATTCCAGTTATTCTACTGTCATTTTATCTAACACAATTTCCATCAGTTTAATGTGCATATTTTGTGCTGCTTGAAGGTAATAGTTAGCATGTAAGTAAATTAAATTGTCTCTATCACACAGGGTTATTTCTAAGCCTTGCTTTTTGGAACTAGTTACTGCTGATCTTGCCCTCCCCCAGCTGCATGGATTAAATGAAACATAAACATCCGTATTTGTGAGGAGTCTTTGTCATATAGCACTTGCTCCAGGAATTCCATGAAAGAAATTAGAAAAGAGCCATAAAGCTCACAGCTATTTCTGCATGCACACACTTCCGGGCATAGCAATTTATCACTTAATACTAGCAGATCCTTCTTCGTGAGCATCCAAAGACCATTGCATACTGAAGCATATTTGAGAATTTAGGAGGAACTGGTCCGTTTAAATTGAGAATGTGAGCTGTTGGTTTACCTTGCCACTTCTCCCAACAAAAACATGTCAAAATACAAGAAATAGTCTTACTTCTACAACAAGAGGAAACTGGGATTCTGAATGGTTCAGAATGATTCTCTCATGGGACAATAATACCTTTCAAAAAAATAACCACGGGCTGCCGACTGGAATGCCAGTCCAGCTATGTCCCCGGGTAACGACATTCACGGCCATTTCAATACCCCAAACTGGGAGAAAAGGTAAGGCCCTGTTCCTCTCCATTTGTGCCTTACACAACACGGGGCTGGACTGCAACACAGAAGAGGAGCAAGTGTTGGAAGTGACAAGTGCGTCGTAACACCTCACCGGTGGGTCCCAGTGCCCAGGAGGTGACCATTTCAGACCCTGGACTCGCTGACACCCACCAAACCTTCCTACTGGGATTCTCCTGACGAGATCCAAAACCTGAGGCAAATCAAATTACACATACACACCACACACATACCGATGCACAATATTTACATTTAAAATTCTGGTTTTGTGAGATGGCTTGAGAAAAATTGGCAAAGAGTTCTCCTATAGGATGAGGCATGTCTCCTCATTACTCAGTCCACTGCTCCCCGGGTGGGCTTCCTCCATTTAAGAAACACGGGCCCGGCTCTCATTCCACGGGAAGAAAAATGAAGGCGCGTTGACAAAAGACGACACTTCGGAAACACTTATTCAAATATTTCCTTCAAAAAAAATGATGGTCCGCTGAACTTATCATGATTGGGGTGCCATTCAAAAGGTATAAAGGGCCTTGGCAATTGAAGGAAGACTGGGTTTCACTGTAAAAAAAGGAAAGGAACCAGCGCCGGTGTCATTGCTGAACTTGTCCATGGGTTCCTAGGGTTAATTCTACTCTCTAGCATCTGTACATAGCATCTGCGGTTTAATCTACCACACTCAGAGAAGACCACATTGTGTGCACTTGCGCAGAGTCATGTCCAAGTTAGAATATGTTTATCTTGCCACGTGGCTTTGGAAAATCATAAATTGCAGTCCATTTAATAAGTGACTATGAGGATGCATGCAATCGTCTTCAAAGCTGCTGCCATCAATGCTCAGAGTGGTCTGCCTGGCCTCTCGTGGAGACCTCGCATTCTGTCCTCTGCTTTGGGTTCATCAAGCGGCAGCCCGGAGGCCGGCCCTCGGCACCAAACGATCAGCGTCGCCCCCACCATCTCCCCTCGGTCCAGTCACCAACACCTGCTCAAGCCCTGGTCGGCACCCGCGAGAGACCTCCCTGCTGCCCTCTTCAGCCACAGGATATCACAGTGAAACGCTTAGAAATGCAAGACATGTTGTGGAGCACAATGCCCAGAAGGAAGACCAGGACGCAGGCCACCAAGATCACAGTGCACACCCCAGACCAGGTGGAGCTCTTTGCCACGCCACGCCTGCCCGGCTCCTCCTCCACCACCGGTGGTGCCACCTCGGCAGCCTCCTCCTGGGGGGGCCCTCCCTGCAGAGGCTGCTGCTCTGCCGGGATGGTCACCACGGTAACAGACTTCTGCTGGTTCCCAGGCAGCAGGCGGCAGCCTGAGTCTCCGGGCAGCGGCGCTCGCTCCTTGGAGATGGGCAGGGGCAGCATGTAGCACCCATTGCTGGGAAGTTTGATGAAGACCGGGGTGTGCTCAGAGGCGTGTGGGATGGCAATGATGGCGAGGACCTCCGGGTCGTCGGGGAGCTGCGACACGGAGAAGCCTGCAGGCAGCTTGGTGATGCCCCGGCACCACGGGCACCTCACATCCTTCTGGCTTGTCCTCATCTGCTGAAGGCACACGGAGCAGCAGGTGTGTTTGCAATCCAGCAACTTGGGCCTGCGCCGGGGGCTGTAATAATTGAAACAGATCTGACATTCCAGCAAAGAATCTTGGGAGATCGTCTCCATCGTGAACTGGGAGCAGGGAAGGCAAGGCCAAGAGGAAGAAGCTTGTTCTCAGAGGCCACCGCTCTGGCACCTTCCTTTGTCGAGCCTTTCCAGAGTCACGAGGCGATCGATGAGCTCAGAGGCATCCAGGATGCTCAGGTGTGCTCATTTCTGAAGGAGACAAAAATGCACACAGAGTTAATTATCTCAAGCAAGCAGAGATGTTGGCATATCGGATGGATTTGTGCCGTTGCTCAAAAGTCTTGACAGTCGGTCAAAAACTTAAAAGTCCCCCCCCCCCCCCCCGACTGTAGGATTCCGGGTCTGTCTGGCTCATCATGGTGACTACTTCGCCCATTTCTAAAGAACCAAATACCTCCGGGATATGTGGGTACACAATGTCCCACGTTTCATAAAAGGGCCACTCTGTTACTTGTTTTGTACATTCCAGTGGACCTGGATTATCCTTCTAACACACTGGAGAAATTCTCCGGCTTCCAATAACTTTGTAGCATTCTCTAAAAGCAAATGTCCGTCCCTCAATCTTCTCACTTTCTTTTCCTGACCCCACTTGCCCTCCTGTAGGTATTCATTGCCAAATGCAAACAACTTTACAATGTAGGTGCTTCGTGTAAGTACGTTGCCACTGGACAAGAGTTGGGACTGTTCCTCTCTCTGACAGGTCATCAGAATGACGCCAAGACAGCACACACCGGCCTCTTGTCCCCTTGCCTATCAAGCCACTTGAACCAAGGTCATTCTTGTCTACTGATTTTAAGAGAGACAACAGTAAAACAAGACACAAAAAATAAGACAACACCACCACACAAACCACAAGTGGCAATGAACCTTGAGGCAGCAGGGGTCACCAAGGCACAGGGGATTCAGGTTGCTTATTAATTTCATTCCTCCTTAGGACTGCACCAAGTAACAAGCCCACCGGCAAAGACCATGAACTGATCCTAACCAGGTGTTCCAGTGAAAGGTGCTCCAGTGAAAGACTGGCAGGCATGCAGACTTCACCCCCCCCCCCCCCCCCAGAAAAACCACAGTGTCAGCCTCCTGGCCTGGCTCAGCTGCAGGGTAACCCCGTATGACTCAGCCTGGGGGGCTGGAGGCACAGCTTAGTGCAAAGCAGTGTTAATAAAGGCCGCCCGCCTGTTTCCTACTGAAAGCATCCAAATTATGTGTCTCTGCATGGAGCTGTGATGACTCTGGAAAGAACCATTCAACCACTATTGTGGAAATAATTGCTAGTCCTAGAACCCCACCCACACCCAGAGGCAGGAGCTAAAGAGATGGAAAAGCTCTTTCACATTTTTCTTTAAAAGCCAAGCCTCTTTTCCTAACTTCCTTTGTGAAATTAAGAATGCACAAACGCCTTAAAGTCAAAATTAAGAACACAGAAAAAGTATGACATAAAAAATAGTCACTGATAGAAATTAACAAAATGACAACCAAGAGAGCAACATATTTTAAAAATATTTTAGCTGTATTAAATTATTAAAAGTAATACAGTAACACAGCATTCAGAAAGTGCATATCATATTTATCTATCCGCTACTTCAACAAATATTTATTGATTAAAATTTGCTGAGAGTAGAACTTAAATAGTCTCACCAAAAAGAAAAAAAAGGAGTGTAAGTATGTGAGACGACAGATGTGTAACCAGCTAGACAGGGAGGGGAGGGGCCTTCGCAATGTACGCGTTTACCAAATCACCACAATGTACACTTGAAATATCTTACTCGTCAATTATGTCTCAATAAAGCTGGAAAAAAATAGAAAAATAAAATACCTATCCGGTATCTATCATGCACCCATCCAGCTACTGCAGGATATGAAGAAGAATCAGACCCAAATCCTGCCCTGAAGCAATTCAAAGTTAGGTCAGAATGAATGTACATTTTTTTCTCTTCCATTCATTTATGATTCCAATTTTCATTGCACAGCTACCATGTGTCAATCATCACAGTATTTACTTTTGTTCCTGTAGCTAAGACCTTGTCAGTGCCCGTAAGAAACTCCCAGCCTAGAAGGACTTGAACAGCTACCCATACGAAGTGGTGCACGCCACACAGGAGCTGGAGGAATCAGAGGCGGCTCCCCGACAAACATGGATTACGGGGAGGACGTCCACAGGTAAAATCAGAGAACAGGTTATTTCCCGGTCAGAAATCAGTCCGAGCAGAGGAAAGGAAGTGAGCAATCACAGAATTATTTCTAGACACTGACTACAGGAGTTTTTCTAACAAGAGTCACCTAGAGAGCCCATCCCCAAGTGTGTCCGAGCTCCAGTTCCTACAGGTGGATATTTGATATGCGTACCCACCGGCCCAGCCAGGGACAGCGGGTCCTGCAGGGAGGGGAGGGATGAGCAAAGCCAGCCACAGGTCGAGGGCCACAGACCATCGGCCATGGACAGCCTCCAGTGCCGGGCCAAGGCCGGGGAGCTTTCTACTGAGCACCGAGGGAACACCGGCAAGGTCAGGAGTATAAGAATGACTCATCAGGCAGCTACATTCAGGAGAGATTCGAAAGACCTGCCGGGACACTATTCTCACATTAGACAAGAGTCATAAGTAGCTGCAGCAAACAGGGCCATTAGCATGAAGAGGCGCAGACTGCTGAGAGGTCTTACGGGAGCCGGGTGGGACCTGGCCATGGCTTCCGATGAGCCTGGGGGAGGGAAGAAGTCCAGGGAAGTCTTGAGAGGAGGGCACTCTCACTGAGAAACACAGGGATCGCCAAGAGAAAGACAATGACGTCTGTGGCTGTATTCCATCTGAGGTGCTCGAAGAGACAAGACATGTGTTCTTCAGAGAGCTATTACAGAGTCAAAAAGAAGCTGAAAATGTGAGGCTGATATTGCAGAGAAAAGTCAGGACCAGACCCAAGAGACCTAGGCAGCATCCACAGAGAAGAGACCTCAGCCAGAGACAGGCAAAACAGAACAGATTAGACCCTCAGGGAAAACCTGTATTTAAGCCCAGTCTACAGGAAAAATAGGGGCAGAGTAGGAGGAAACTCATCACTGTGTCCCAGGCAAAGAGTTCTGAGAGTGAGCCTGAGAGGGACCTCACGGTTCAGAGACCAGGAGGTGGCTGGTACCGTTGAGCGGTGTCCGCATGAGATGGATGGAGCCCGGGGAGGCTGCTGGAGGGCTAAGAATGAGAGCCCCCAGGGAGACAGTGAGTGTGAGGTCCAGGGGTCGCTCAGAGCGGGGACAATCAAGGAATGCTTCTTTTACTCTTCGGAAAACAGAAATCTGAGCCAAGAGGGGCAGAGAAGGCAGGCTCAGGTGCTCCAAGACAGATGGGTGGTCAGGTGTGTGCTGTCCGGTGTGGGGACCCTCCACCCCATGAGCAAGCGAAGGCAGCGAGTGGAGCTGAGGAAGGGGAAAGTGTATGGACGGTGGGGAGTGGGGACTGGAGCGGGGACGCCCAGCATGTTAGTGACCAGGGCGGAATTCTTCGAACTTCACGTCCGCAGTACTGAATGTATTCTTTCTCAATGAAAACACAGGGTTTGCTGGTCAGTACTGGCAAATTCTCTCCCTTATCTATCCTTACCATGTAAGCCCATCGACGGAGGTCAGGCCATGACGTTATTACCCACAGGGAGACAGCAATGTGTCTGGCATGGGAGGACAGATCTCTGAGCCACCGTGGCAGAGATGACAGCGCTGGGCAGGGATAGCTGAGAAAAGCACAGATTGCTCCAACTTTATGAATCTGGACACAGCCCTCCCTGACAATGGCCTCTGAGGGCGACCACCCTCAACGCAGCCGGAGTGGAGAACAAACAATGTTTCCGGATACCAATTTATTTCTTAACTTTCCTCTTGTCCCCTGTTACTTACTTCCCTTTCTTATAAAAATGTGGGAGAATGGGGGGGGGCGGCTCTGGCCTCAAAGAATCTTGGGTCAAATCCTCACTCTGTCACACAGGAGCAAGTCATTTAACTTCTCGGGACCTGCTTCCCCCCTCGGCCAAATGGGGAGGATGGAGTTGTGAGTTCAGAGTCCCGTACTGCCAGGCGGTGAAGGACTCGGTGCCAGTTCCCTCCTTCCTCCCAACTGTCCCTACAGTTGGGCAGGTTCTGTGTGTGACCTGCCCAGAGGCGCTTCCTAGCTCTCACGGAACTGCCCTCGTGAACAGCTCGGGAGAAATGCAAGTGTTCTCCTTGGCCCTGACCCAAGACCTACCGCACCATTTTTTTTTTAACAGCAGCGACATGCAATTTTCTCCATGAATTAAGGTTCCAAGTAATAATGTTCACTTAATTGCTGTTGAGCTCTCTTCAAATTAGATTACACTACTCAAATCGCCAACTCCATCCAAGTCAGCTCCAAGGTCTCACCAGACAGGCCAAATGGAATGGTGAGACAGTCCCACATGTAGTCACTCAAGTCATTTTGACAGCAGTCTCTCTGATTTACATGCCGGTGTGTTCTCTCCCACGCCAGCCTGCACTGCATTCCACTTTACTTTCTGGAGCATAACTAGTGATGATGATGACGATGATTAGTGAGGTAAAGAGAAGAAAATTTATGAGGCTGGGGACCGACGCTAATGATGAATCATCCTTTCTCCCTTTCAACATACACTCAGCAAAATACGTGAGCAAACCACAGAAGGAAGAGAAACAGAAACAAGGGCCATGCTGGTTCAAAAAAAACCCCAGAGATCACAGCCAAAGGCACAAGTGTGCACCAGTGACTGCTGGGCAGGATCAGATGCTCCGGGGCTCATTAAATTTAAAAGAACAGGTCCCTTGCTGGGGTGCCCAAGAACAAGCATACACCAAAATAGACTGGAACGATTTAAAAATGTCACCACAGTTTATTCTGTAAGAACCTAAAGTCAAGATCAAAGAGGAAAACAGGCCACAAAAAGGGAGGGCATTCTCAAAATAATTATGGCTTACAGGGTAGAACTTACGTTCAAACACATCTTCATAAAACGATACTTAGTTTCACGGATCGTATCAGTGGTACCACACGCAGATAAAAGACCTTGAGTAATCGCTGGACTACACACTAATGCATGCCTCGGTTTTAAAATACTTGAAAAAATGAACTGAGATGTATATATATGGGGGAGGCGTGGTTTGGGGGAAAAACTGCCGAAGACCAAAGGGTCTGCTACCGCTGTCCTTCAGGCAGTAA